CAAAGCTACACAGAGAAACCCTGTCTCGAAAAAACAAAAAAAAAAAAAAAAAGGGTCACGCGCATAAAGCGTTTGCGTGCTGTGATTCCGAGGTCAGGAAGCTAGCATCTGGTAAAGGAAGGTAGAGTAAGAACCGAGAAGAGCCAGGGTCATTTCCTGTGTGATGGTGAGCGCTCTATGACCAAAGGACACAGCTCAAGCTGCTGAGCTAACCAGACAGAGCGCAGGGAATGAAAGACACAACTCAGCCCAGGGGTGGCGGCCTAAAAGACAGGAGGGGAGGAGAGGTCTGACCAACGCCGCGCCAACAGCTGCACGGGAGCTTCGAACCTGGCCGTCACCAACAACACTAAATGTAGAGTAAACCACAGGTCAGCAAACCCAGCCTCTGTAGTGGGACAGCAGCCACGACAATAAAGGAATAGCTTGGCTATTTATTTATTATTTGCCAACGAAACCTTCTGTACAAAGGCAAAGTGCGGCTGGTTCTCCTGTGGACCACAGACTGTTCATCTCTGCTTTAAACCCACCACTGACGTGGCAGACTGTCAACTGAATTAAAAAAATCAAAACCTGACCACGTTGTTCACAAGAAACTCACTTTAAATATGCCAAGGCTACACTGTGAGACTTTCTCTCAGAACAAAATCCAGTAAGTGGGGGTCAAAAAATAAACAACAACAAAGCCTCAAAATAGATGAAGCAGGGAGCTGGAGAGAGCTCAGAGGTGAAGAGACCCTGCTGCTCTTGTGGAGAAGCCAAGTGTGGTCCCCAGCACCTACATCAAGTGCCTCACAATCACCTGTAACTCCAGCTCCACAGGAGTCCAATGTCCCTCGGCACCACAGGCACCTACACACACACACACACACACACACACACACACACACACACACACACCCCTAAAAGTAATAAAAATAGAGCTTAAAAATACAATAAGCAAATACTGATAGAAAAAAGAAAAATGTCTAAATCTAAAGGACTAGGCTTTTTTCTCTTAATAATTGATAAATAAGGAGCCGGGAGCTGGAGAGATGGCTTAGCAGTGGAGAGCACTCGCTGTCTTGCAGAGGACTAAGTTCTGCTCCAGCACCCACATCAGGCAGCTCACAGGCTCCTACAGCTCCAGTTCAGGGATCCATCCCTCTTCCGGCCTCCATGGGCACCAGGCATGCTTGTGGTGCACAGACATGCATGCGAGCCAACTACTCACACACATAAACAAAAACAGTAACCCAGAAACCGGCAGGACTATAGAGAACCTTAATGACACCATGGATGAACATTTATGAACATACCAGGCAAGACGAGGAGACTACACCTTCTACTCAGGGCATGCTGAACATTCACTATTCTGGCTTAGCTGACTTATAAAGAGCAACACAACTCTATGGATCCAATAAGAAAAAGAGAGGAAAGCTACAGGTTACCAATGTCCAGACCGAGAGAGACTGAGCCTCACAGCCACCAGGAGGGCTATGACAAAGAAACGCCAGCGTGACGGCTCAGCTGTAAAGCCCTTGGCTGTACAAGCCTGACCATCAGAGCTCCGACCCTAGAACCCGCATAAAAAGCTGGGTACAGTGGTGACAACTGCAACCCCAACAGTCCTGCAGGACGGGAGCAGAGATGTGTGGCCCGAGAGTGCGCAGGACGCCTGGATACACACATCACCAGAAACGAGGCTCTGTCCCAGTACGGGGAACAGACTTACAAAAGCTGTCCTCCGCATTGGGTAAATGCATCAGTGAGAAACTCAGAGTCACCGATATTTGTCGATGATGTCGCATTAAGGAAAGATGCCAAAGCACTTCCCCTTGGAGTACTTTAAGCTGGAGAGAGTCCGAATTTGAATTCTCCACTTCACTGCCCGTGCCTTCCATCTCTCTGTAGGTTGTGATTTTCGATCTGCCTGCAATCTGCTGTATGAGTCTGAATTTGTACCTGCCTGTCTGCTTCTAATGTGTCCCTAACAAAGGGCTTTGCTCTGTATTTACTGAACAGCACATGGGGAAGGAGTTAGGGACACTCCACGGAAACTTTAACTGAGTTGTATGAAGGATTGCACTTTACTCCAACGACCCCGATGGACACAAACACACCAATGCTGTCTAGCAGTATCAGTACGCTGCTTCCAACATGCATGGCAGATATTCATTTCAGAAGGTTGCTTTTCGCCTCTCTGTTGCTTTTAGCAAATGATGATCATGCCACATACAAACACACATGCACTGCTCTCCGAGTCTGGGGGATGGAAGAACACACAACCTAAGATCACAGGCATGCATTAGCTTAGTCTGTAAAAGCTGGGAAACCCAAGGCAGGTAAGGGTAGCTGCCACACTGTCGTCCTCTTAAAAGCTGGTCAAACAATCAGTAGGTTAGCAGTCTTAAGGACCTCAAGGTGTATCATTAAATGTCTGTGAGGTCCAGAGCAAGTTCCAGTCTCTTAGAACGTAAGGGGCATGTTCACAACATTATACCACCACAGTCCTTACTTCTTCACGTGCGTCAGTACATGCATGTACACACGTACACACACACACACACACACACACACACACACGCACAAAGGGGGGAGAGAAAGAGGGAGGGAGACAGAGAGGGAGGGAGAGAGGGAGGGAGGGAGGAGAGGAGAGGGAAGGGGGGGAGAGAGAGAGCGAGTGAGAGAGAGGACAGAGGAGGAGTAGAAGCGTTTAGAGAAGCCAGACTCCTCACGGGCTGCTGGCAGGACGTAACCTGGTGTTACCGCTAAGGGCAACTGCCAGGTCTGCAGAAGGTTGACACACCATTAACATATGACACAGTGACACTTTTAGGCACATGTGAGAGAAATCAGAGCATGGTCACTGAAAAACGTACACGTGGCTGTTCACAACTGCATTAGTGATAAGGCTCTAGAGCGGACACATGCCAAATGCTCGTCATCCAGTAAGTGATAAACTGAACGTGGTACCACCCTTACGGACCAGCACCATTCAGCCAGTGAGAGGATGAGGGTGGTCCAGAACGGACGGACCTTAGAAGCCTCCTGCTAAATCGAAGCCTTAACTGGGTGATTCCGGCCACCAAACAGCAGCAGAGGGGAACCCAGACACAGTGCTTGCCTGAGCCTGGAGCACGGGACATGCCGTGTAACTGCTGGTGACGTCGGGATTTCTTTGGGTTTAATAAAATGCTCAGTACTCCCCTGAGGTAATGGTTTGATAACAATGTTGATAGTTGCACAACTGTGAAAACACCAACAACTACTGGGTACACTTGCTTCTCAGGCGACAACCTGTGTTCAATCCCCAGACCCACACCAGGTGGGAGGGAGAACAGCCTCCAGAGCTGCCCTCTGACCTCCCAGGGCTCCTGGGCGCACAATCCCTTAGTAATGAAGTTGAAAGGTGAAGCATGCGTCTGTCTGTCTGGCACATCAGTCAGGTGCCCCACACTGAAGTGTTTGCCCAAGAGAAAAGAGAGCATACATTTACACGCAGACTTGTGCGTGTGTGTTCACGGCACCACATGCAACATCCCCAAACTGGAAACAACCAGATGTCCACGACTGGTGAATGATTTGCAAACTGTGGCCCAGCCACACCAGAATCCTACTCAGAAGGAACACACAGTAACACGGACATACTTCCACAACCACGCTGAAGACAGAAAACAAGGCAAACACAAGCGAGGCAGAGAAAGTATGCACACTGTCCGACGACATTCACATACACATCCTGAAAACATAAACTAATGCACGGGGACAGAGAGAAAGCGAGCGCCGCCTCAGGACTGGGGTGTGAGGGAGGCAATCTAAGGGGTGCACGGAAATCTGGCCACGAGGGGTTTTCTCTGTCTGAACTGAGTAACAGCAGCTGTGGCACAACTGCGTTTAAAACACATGCAGCTTAGTACCTGTCAGTTACACCCGAAGGCAGCTGGTGAACAGGAGACACGCCCCAAGAGGCTGCAGCTCAGCACAGACAGGAACACAGCACCTCCGTCTGTTCTCACGGGAGGGAGGAGTCAGGTTTTACGACGACGTCACCTGAGTGCTACTGAGTTAGCTGTTAGCCGCTGATCCAAAGCCCCCACTACGACACTGATCAAAACTAGCCAACGAGCCGACAAGCTGTTCTTTGTGCAAACAGCTCCAGCGGGAAACTCACCAACTAGAACATCAAATCAGCCCTTTCCCTACGGTTAACCACAGGACACTCCGGACACCACAGCCGGGTCAGAAGCAGAGAAATAAATCCACGACGGAGAAATCAAATCACCGAGGGACAAGCAGAGTGGCGAGGGCAGAAAACAAGTGTGACCCACAGGAGCACAGTCTAGAGCCGATTTTGGACGTAAGTTTGAGGGTGCACATTATCAAAAATGGCGGGGGGGTTCTATTTTGAGTTGAAAGTTGGAGCGGAGGTGAGAGTCGGGTGCTCACAGGCGTTATGGAAAAGTGTAAAACAAGAACTCACAACCCCCCTTCTAAGTCCCCCAAAGGAGAGGGAAAGAAGAGACGCTCTCTGCTGACTCCAGATGTGCAAGCGACTCAAGGTCACCAGTCAAGTCCATCTGTCTAACATCTGCCACCCCCGGAAAAGGCCACTGAACTCTGACCATTGAAAACATGGCTGCTGAGACGGCACAGGGGGAAAGCGTCTGCCACTCGCACGTCTGAGGAGTGTGAGCCCAGACCCCCTCCCCAGCAAAGCTGGACACGACAGCCTGAACCTGTAAGCCTTGCATTCCCCTGCCAAGACAGCAGGTGGACCCGGAACTGCCTGAAGCTCGTGGGCCAGCTAGCCGGAGGACCTCAGCTGGTACAGGAGACTCTGCCCCAGCAAAGCGGAAGGAGAACTAACCCCTGAGCTGTCCTCTGGCCTCTGCATGTGAACCCGCACTCACACATAAACTTGTTATTACTAATAAACACTAACAAACAACAATAACAGAAACAATACATAGCAAATATTACTACAACAACAACAACAATAAACAAAAAATCCTGTAACATACGTACCATGAAAATTTTCCAGACACAGTAAATAGAGAAGAAGTAACCCAGGAAATTGAAATACTTCCCCTTGAAAGTTTTAGAGTATTCAATTCTTTCCTAAAGAAAACCAAACACAAAACATGGTTTTTAGCAAAAGGCCAACATTTTCAACAGAAGCATTGCCATGCCTACCACTCACTGCTGAGGCAACCTGCGCTGAGCGCCGACTCTCAGCCAGAGACAAGACAGTCTATTCCCGTGAGCGTCCAATCTCCACAACCCCATGAGGTGTGTTCTAGAACCTTCATCTTACAGATGAGAAACTGAGTCTTAGAGGTTAAACAACTTGTTCAGGATCAGGTGGTGACTGGCTCAGCCCTGTTTCCAAAGCACATGCTGGCAACCCTCTACCCTTTATAACCCACCCTGGAAGTTGCCCTCAGAAAAGGCGAGGGTCGTTTGCAGCTTTAGGTTTGTGTATTTCAGTCATACTGCATTTTAGGTGTGCCTTGGGAGGTTAGGTAAGTGAGGTAGGGACCCATCACTCTTGTGATGGGGTTCATCTGTGAGGCAGTAAGAAGAACTAGGGGTGACCATCGTTATCCCCGGCCAGAAGTAGGAAGTGGCTGCACCAGCCTCCCGGGTGCTGGCGTCTCCTTCTACCCCTCCAGTTCTCTTGTAGAGAGGGTTCCGGGAGGGATTTTACAGTCACAGGAGAGATTCCCGAAGCAGAAGCCACTCAGCTTACACAGGAGCACCGCCTGGTCACAGAGGACTCTGACAGGCCAGGAGGTCTTACCCTCTCTCCAGCCGTGGGAAAACCATAGCCGTCTCCTTGCTCTGTACCTTAGTAGCATACAGATCAGCTGTTTCCAGAAAAAGCTGCCTGCTTAGCTCTTCCAAAGCATCTACTTCCTGCTGAATGACAGTCAGATCTGGCAGAAGTGGGCATCAAGGTTGAAATCACAGACATTTCAGAGACGGCGGGAAGGAAGACTTGCGGGCTACAGGGCAGATGCTGGGACCGCCTGTATCCTGAATTTCCCACCTCAGCCAGCAGGCTCCCGGGTAGTGCTCCGGCCAGACAGGGCTGAAGGGGCACCCCGCAGACAACTGGTTTCTCAGACAGATGCTTCCCTGTGCTTGGTTTCTACTTTTTATCTGTCAAATTCAATCTCCGGGGCCTCAAATGGCGTACAGCACCGAGACCTACAATACCGCCGCTCCACGCCAGCGGAGTAACCTGTGCTGGGAATGCAGAGCACAGTGGTCACCGAGCCTCCAGGATTTAGTCACCGCCTCCTTCAGTTCTTCATTCACTCTCCCCCAGCCCCACAAGACAGCTGCACCCACTTCTCAGATGAGGAAAGAGGCTCAGAGAGTTAAATAACTTGCTCCACGTCATACACCTAGGCGTGGATGCACAGTGCCGTCTGCCTGCCCATGGGCCTGCTCTCTCTTTCTCTTCATACCTCAGTGAGGAGGGCCGCTCTTCCCCCATGAAAGACACAGGCGCTCCGAGAGCTGCCATCACCTGATACACTTGCTGATGGATTTCTCAGCCTACGCTTTATTTTTATGAGTTTTAGAGTAATAAAGATATGAAGACAGCCCCAGTAATTCCCATCTTCCTTCCTTTGTGAAATCAACAAGTGCACTTCAGTGCTTCCCCTCCACAGTGGCTATCAGCAAGGCTATGGCACTCAGCGTCAGGGTGAAGAGTCCTAGGTCTGTCTCCCTTGAGCAGGGAGTGAGCGCCTTGAGGTTCGACTCATCGACTATCACCTAGCGCTGCCTGGAAATAGGAGACACAGAACAAATGCTTCGGGATTACTTGTTTTTCTTTTTTAAAAAGATTGCTTTTACTTTTAGTAGTGTTTTGTGTGTGTGTGTGTGGTGGGGTATGCATATGAGCGCAGGTCTCCCCAGAAACAGCGGTACAGGTGGCTATGGGTCACCGATCGGGTGCAGTGCACGCTCAGCCATGGGAGCCACCTCTCCAGACCCAACGACTCGTTTTCCTTTTCCTGCCACAGTGCCCTGGCTTTCTCTGTCTTATCTGCAGCCATCAGAATGGTGGGCATGGCCTGTCACAGTGGTCTGTGTCCTTCTCCGGCCACCTTATCCGGGTGAGAGGGAAGCAGGAGTATGTCACCTCCTGTCAGCCCCCAGGGTGACTAACAGCCCATGGGGGTCACACACAATGTGGTTATCCTCGTATGGGAACTGGTGAACCTCCAAACCAGCAGGGCCAGGATCAGTCTATTAACGCAGCCACCCTGGCGTTTAAGGAGGAGGCGGCACTACTTAGCTCTGTGTGGGCACTGACTGGGTTAGAAATGGCCCTGCCGCCACTCGTGAACCACCCACTGTGGAGGAGCCGCCACGCTCCGTGGTCTCGCAGCACCGAGACAAAGAGCGGCGGAGTGGAAGAGGTTATGAAGCCCAGGCCACAGCTCTGCTCCTGCATTTGCCACAAACCACGGGTGACTGCACCTTTGGGCCTAGTCTCTCATCTGCTAAGTGGAAAGGATGACCTCACAGGTTCCTCCAGCTCAGGTGCAGGAAGATGATGTACCCACTGTACTTCCTACGCCCAGTGCGGCCAGTCTGGACCCCGGCAGTCAGGGCACCCTAGAGGGACTAACCAAGCACTGCTTTTTTCCTGCCCCTGGTCCAGGGTACGGGATAAAGGATACTTTCACTTCCTGCAGATGACGCGGTCACGCTCTTCAGCACGCCCCAGAGTCCCGACGGCTTGTTCTGCACCTCCCCTCTCTGGAACATGGTTCTCCGAGCCACGGCCATCCTGAGATAAAGAAAACAGAAGCCTGAGCGAAGAAGTGGGCCTCAGCCTCATCCCTCCACCTTCCCGAGTCACTGCGGTGTCAACACTGTTCAGGAGTTAGGAGGGAGAAGACACTCCCAGAGGTGACGTGGCCTGGTCGGGGGCACAGAGTGTGGACTAGGCAATAAATCTGAGCACTGGCTTTGCCACTTGAAAGCCGAGAGTCCTCCAGTTTACTTCCTCACTCTGGATGGTGGTGAAGAGGAATCACTAACAGTCAACCAGGGGACCAAGGACTAGGTGGCACTTCTGTGGGCTGAATTTTTAAAGCACCAGTTAGAAGGTCATTCACAACAATGGCTGCTGAAACAGTTTCTTCCTCAGTGAGCTCTGGCTGGATACTGGAGGAACGAAACGGCCCCAGGCTTGAGCTTCCGCCTTTCCTGACATATTCCCTGTAACTCGGCATGTTGGGAAGGCATGAAAAGGGACCAAGAACGGGCTCAGGTCCACGACTCGGTCAGTCACTAATGGGAACCTGGGACAAGCACATGATGAGACGCTCTGCTATGCGGTCCACAGTTTCCTTGGGCTCCACACCTGGGATTATGGCGGGGGGGGGGGGGGGGGGGGGGGGGGTTGAAAGGGAGCGCAGATGCCATTTCTACTAAGCTGGCTGTACACAGACAAGTGCCCCAGTTTTAGACAGTCCACTTTCACTTTTGATTTTAATCACCCAATTCTAACCCAGTTTTGCTCTTGGCAAATAAGTTGCAGACAAAAATAAACATGTATTTAAGAAAAAAAGATGAACAGTATCAAACTTTCTGAGATGCACTTTTACAATGTATCCAAACAAGCACAGAGCACTGTGGCCATTTCTACCTTCCGCTTTCCTCCTGCCTCTTCTTCCTAAGGCCATCTTGGAACAAGAAGAAAGCTATTTGCTATTGGCTGGCTGCTGTTTAAAAATTCTTAATACAAAACCACAAGCAGGTGGCTGCGGTCTGGCGGACGCATGAACGAGAAGAGTCTGAAAATGTGGACTCTGCTCTTAAAGGACATGAAACACTTCACGAAATGTCATGTTATCTGTGCAGGGCCATGCTAATCTGTCCCAGCCCATCTTAGCACACACAGTGCCGATGTAAGCCTCCACCCTACTTTAAACATGGTGCCCTACTGTCTGATGGTTCCCATTTCTAGTTCAGCCATTACTTTATCTAAAAAAAAGTATTATTTGTGTGTCCGTGTCCGTGTGTGTGTGTCTCCGTGTGTCCTCGAAGCATGTGCATATGAGGATGGAACTCCCATCACCAGGTTTACTTGCTGAACCATCTCAGCGGCCCATTAGAACTCTGAATTTTAGAGATAATGTAACTCGTATATGGCTTTAAGAATAGAGAGTTTGGGCTGGAGAGATGGCTCAGAGGTTAAGAGCACTGACTGTTCTTCCAGAGATCCTGGGTTCGATTCCCAGCAACCACCTGGTGGCTCACAACCATCTGTAATGAGATCTGGTGCCCTCTTCTGGCCTGCAGGTATACATGCAGATAGAACACAGTATATATAAATAAATAAATCTTAAAAAAAAAGAATAGAGTCCATGTACTCTACCCAGATTTCCACTCTCCTGCAACAGGACACTGACATGCAAACACTTCTGAATACACTATCTGCATCACTAAAAGGACTTCATTTGGCCCTTGGGTAGCTCACAACTCACCCACCCTTCCCTCCACCTCTGGTAGTTTGTCCTCTAGTTCTTTGGTTCCGTCATTTCCAGAATGTGCATGATTAGGATCAGTGTTTATCCCTAAGTGGTGAATGGCCTGCTTCCCATTAAGCAAAAGGTTCTGTATGTTTGCTCAGGTTGCTGTGCATTAGCAGTTTGTTCATTTTTATTTCTAAGTAGCATTCCGCAGTATGGCTGAAGCAGTGTTCTCAACCATCCATCCGTGAAAAGTTATCTCTAGTTTGGGACTTCTATGAATGAAACCGCTAAAAACACTGCTGTACTCACTTTGTGTGAGCACGATGTTTTATTTCTTCTCATGAACACCTGGTGCAATTTCTGGACTTGGACACTGGAATATTTAGTTTTTATAGGAGAGCTATACTGTATCCTAGTTACTCTACCACAGTACGTTTGCACCAGTGACTTACATAAGTCCTGTTTACTACATCCTTGACAACTAGCATGTTGTGTTATCACCATCAAAAACACGTGTGTGTCTGTGCATGTGAGTGGATCTGTATGTGTGTGTGTGTGCATGTGAGTGGATCTGTATGTGTGTGT